GCACCACCATGCCCAGCTAATTATGTATTTTTAGTAGAGACAGGGTTTCTACATGTTGGTTAGGCTGGTCTCAAACTCCCGACCTCAGGTGACCTACCCACCTCAGCGTCTCAAAGTGCTGGGATTACAGGTGTGAGCCACTGTGCCCAGCCAAGTTTTACCCAATATTGAAAGAAAAACTAATACCTATCCTACTCAAACTATCCCAAAAAACTTATGAACTCATTTTACAAGGCCAGTATTACCCTGATATCAAAATCAAAAAGAGTACTACAGGCCAATATCTTTCATGAATATTAATACAAGAATCTTCCACAAAATACTAGCAAACGGAATTCAACAACACATTAAAGAGATCATTCATCATGAACAAGAGGGATTCATCCCAGGAATGCATGGATGCTTCAACATATGCAAATCAATAATACATATAAACAAAATGAAGGACAAAAAAATATGATCACTTTAGTTGACGCTGAAAAGCATTTGATACAATTTAACATCCCTTCATGACATGATCTTTAAAAAACTGGGTACAGAGGAACATTCTTCAACATAATAAAAGACATATATAACAAACCCATGGCTAGTATACTCAATGGAAAAAACCCTGAAAGCCTTTCCCCTAAGATCAGGAACATGAAAAGAATGCTCACTTTCACAACTGTTATTCAGCATTCAACATAGCAGTGGAAATCCTAGCTATAGCAGAGAAGAGAAAGAAATAAACAGCATCCAATAAACGGCATCCAAGTTGGAAAGGAAGACATCAAATTATCCTTCTTTGCAGATGATATGATCTTTTAGTTAGAAAATCATAAAAACTCTACCTACAAACTATTAGAACTGATAATTTTAGTAAAGTTGCAGGATACGAAATCAACATAAAAATCCAGCACATTTCTGTATTTCTATTTTTATATTTTCATATATGTATTTCTGTATATATTTTCAGATATATATTTCTATGTATCTGAAAAAGAAATCAAGTAATCCTATTTACAATACCTACAAATAAAATACCTAGGAATAAACTTAACAAAAGCAGTGAAAGAACTCTACAATGAAAACTACAAAACCCTGATGCAAGATATTGATGAGGACACAAAAATATGGAAAAGATAGTCCATGCACATGGATTTGAAGAATAATTATTGGTAAAACGTCCATACTACCCAAATTCATCTACAGATTAAATGCAATCCCTATCAAAACACCAGAGACATTCCTCACGGAAATAGAAAAATAATCCTAAAATTTTTATGGAACCACAAAAGACCCAGAATAGCCAAAACGATCCTGAGCAAAAAGAGTAAAACTGTAGGAATCATATTACCTAAGTTCAAATTATAATACAGAGCGAAAGTGACCAAAAACAGCATGGTACTGGGATGAAAACATACACACAGACCATTGGAACAGAATAAAGAACCCAGAAATAAATCCATACAGTGAACTCATTTTCAACAAAAATACTACAAATATACATTGGGGAAGGGACAGTCTCTTCAATAAATAGTGCTGAGAAAACTGGATATCCACATGCAGAAGACACTAGATCCCTATCTCTTGCCACATGCAAAAATCAAATCAAAATGGAACAAAAACAAATCTAAGACCTAAAACAATGAAACTACTGAAACAAAACACTGGCAAAAGTCTCCAGGACACTGGGGGCAAAGATTTATTGAGTAATACCCCACAAACACAGGCAATGAAACTAAAAATGGACTAACAGAATCATATCAAGTTAAGAAGCTTGGGAAAGAAAACAATCAATAAAGTGAAGACACAGTCTATAGAATGGGAGAAAATATTTGCAAACTACCCATCTGACAAGGGATTGATAACCACAGAATACGTAAGAAGCTCAAACAACTATATAGGAAAAAAAATACAATAATCCAATTAAAAATTGGCAAAAGATCTGACTAGACATTTCTCAAAAGAACACATACAAATGGCAAACAGGCATATGAAAAAGTGCTCAACATCAATGATCATCAGAAAAATGGAAATCAAAATTACATGGTATCATCTCACCCCAGTTAAAATTACTTTTATCCCAAAGCAGGCAACAACAAATGCTGGTGAGGATATGGAGAAAGAGGAACCCTCATACTCTGTGGGAATGTAAATTAGTGCAGCCACTATTGAGAACAGTATGGGGAGGTTCCTCAAAAAACTAAAAATAGAACTAGTGTATGATTCAGCAATCCTTCTGCTGCTTGGTATATTCCTCCCCCAAAATAAATTGGTATATCAAAAACATCTCTGCATTTCCATGTTTATTACAGCACTATTCACAATAGCCACATGACCATCAACATAGTCATGGAGTAGTATTTAGCCATAAAAAAGGATGAGGTCCTGTAATCTGCAACAACATGGATGGAACTCGAAGACATTAAGTGATATAAGCCAGACACAGAAAGACAACCTTCACAGATTCTCATGTGTGAGAGCCAAAAATTAAAACAATTTCATTCACGGATATGAGAGTAGAAGGATGGTTACCAGAGGCTGGGAAGGGGAGGCAGAAAAAAGGGGATGGTTAATGGGTACAAAAATATAGTTAGATGCGATAAATACAATCTACAATTTGATAGCACAACAGGGTGAATACAGTCAGTAATGCTTTATTGTGCATTTTTAAATAACTGAGGGAGTACAATAGGAATGCCTGCAACAGAATAACAAAAGCATGAGGTGATAGATACCTTATATACACTGATGTGATTCTTACACATTATATGCCTGTATTGAAACATCCTATGTACCCTAAATGGTAACATTTATATATACCTTCTATATACCTGTAAAAATTTAAAAAGGCAAACTGCCAAGGCTTCAAACCTTGCTACTGTATCTCCTGGACAGGAGATTCTGGACAAGTTATTTAACATTTCTAAGACTCAACCCTCATCTGTCACTTGGGAATGACAGGTTTCTACAAGTGTTGTGAGGGTTAAATGAGATGGTGACTTACAGGCTTTTGCATAGAACCTGCACAAAGTATGTTCTCAATAAATGATGACTGCATTAATTTATTTTACTAAATTAAGAGAAACATTTTAATGGCAATATCCAATACTAGTGAGTATGAAAATCAAACCCCATTGCTATTGACAGTATTGATTTGATAATTCTCCTTTTTAAGTTGTAGTCATTGCTATGATTTATTACAGAAAAAGGAATCAAAGTAAAGCGTGCAAAGGGAAATGGGGCAAAGTCAGGAGGAAACTGGTCACAGCTTTCAGGAGCTGTGTCTTTGTGTGGTCACACAGGCCACACTTCATTCCTCCAGCAACAAATTGCAACAACACGCCCACAATTTGTGAAATTTCACAATTGTGAAACCTCGCAATTCTGAGAAACGTTGTCTACTAGATAAAGACCTAGTGCCTAGTTTTTTTACTGGGGGCTGGTGATTTGACAATTCTTCTGCAAAGTAATTCAGAAGTTTCTAGAGCTCCCACACTGTGACTCAGTACTACAGAAAACAGGTAAAAGCACTTACGCAAATATGCTGAGTTAATAATAATAAATTAGAATCTAAATGGAAAAGAAGACATGAGAGACTGGTAACACAGAACATTACTACTACAACAAAATGTGAAAAAAGCAGAAACATATAAACTTTATAATAACCATGAAATCCAATTTCATAAATTAGACTTACCAGGGATAACTATACGTAACTGTTTTTGTCTTTTCTTTTTTCTAAACTTTGTTATATGACTAAATTTCTTCTGAACTTAAAAACAGTATTTTAATAAAGGATATTTTTTCATGTTGAAACTAAGACGGGTCCTTCTTTTTGCACTCTGCTGCCATCTGGCTGGCTTCTTACTACACACCCTCAGACCCTGGGTCACCAAAGCCAGATGCTCGAGGTGGTGCCGTTTTCTCCCAGCCTACACCTAAATGTTCATCCCTAGCTCCCAGATGAAGCTTCCCATCCAAGAAGAAACTCAATGAATGCTACTTAAAGAAACAAACACACAAAATATATAACTTGGCCAACCAAAGAGGAATCTATTTGTAAATTAATCCTTGAAAAGGAGCTGAAAAGAATATTTGGAGAAAAGAGGTAAAAAATTTTTTTAAAGAATGACAAAAATCATGCAAATATGAATGTTATTAGTGTTATCAGAGAGGCCAGCATAAACCTTCTCTGAAGGGAAATATGAAAGCAGAGATGCAGGGGGACAGGTGGGCATAAGGGTGTGAAGAGCTGAGCTTCTGGAAAGAGGCAGTGGCTAGGCCTCAAACCCTCCTCTGCTGCTCCTTCCTAGCTGGGTGACCTTGGGCAAGTCACCAAATCTCTTTGGGCCTCAGTATGCTTATCTATAAAGAGGGGTTAACAAGAAGACTCACCTTATTGGGTTGCTGGGAGGAAGACCCTGTATTTAGAAGAGTGCCTGACACCTAGTAAGGACTTACAATCTGTTGCTTTTTCTTCCTCTAGGACTCATACTAAAGAAACTTGAATTCTCTGCATAAGCCTGGGGCCTTTCAGTGGGAGAGGCACACAAATAATCTCTTAAAGGAGACTGCCCCCTCACAATCACTCTTACGCAGAATGCCTGCTTCTATACTGCAATGGATTGACCATTTGTGTCTCCTCAAATTCCTATGCTGAAATCGTACCCTCTAAGGTAATGGTATTAGGAGGTGGGGCCTTTGGGAGGTATTTAAATCATGAAGGTGAAGCCTTCATGAATGAGATTAATATCATCTATAATCACCTACAATCTCTCTCTCAGAGAGTTCCCTTACTCCTTCCTCCACGTACATACGCAGCAAGAAGGTGCCATCTATGAATCAGGAAGCGGCCCTCACCAGACGCTGACTCAGCTCATGCATCAATCTTGGACTTCTCAGTCTCCAGCAATGTGAGAAGTAGATCTCTGTTGTTTCCAAGTCATCTAGTGTATGGCATTCTGTGACAGCAGCCCCAGTGGACTGAGACATACGCCTTGGTTCTCGTCACTTACCAGGACCCCGGCGTCTTCTTGCTGGCTCTACCATCCAGGGCGCTTTCCCTTTCTCCAATAACGTGATCACATTTGGTCTCCGAAAGGAAAGACCTGTATGTGGGACAAACGTGGGAACTGGCTATAAATGTGGGCACCAGAGAAGTCAGAGCCACGTCCTGCATCAACAGGAATGTGGTTTAGCAGCATGAAAGAGCATACAGGATGTGAAGGGCAGCTGCAGAATGGGGAATGTATACTGTGATTTGTAATAAGAAATAGGTATTTGGTTGTCATCCCTGTTTCCTGGGATAACACAGCTCCTTAAACCCTTGGAATCTACCGCATATGTGTCTTTCATCTCTTAAGACTGTGGCTGGGGGCTTCTGGACAGCCTTCAGAGAGGCTGGTTGCCAATCATGTGATTAGAGGGTTGGAACGTTCAGCCCACTGCCTGACCTCTGAGGAGAGGACAGGGGCTGGAGTTTGAGCCTATCACTAATGGCCAATGATTTAATCAACCATGTCTACCTGAAGCCTCCTTAAAAACCCCCAGTGTACTGGGTTTGGAGAGCCTCAGGGTTGCTGATCACGTGGAGGGTGGTACAGTAGAGAGTGCATGCTCTTGCCCCTCCGCGCATACCTAGCCCTCTGCACTCTCGCATCTGGCTATTCAACTGTATCCTTTGTAATGTATTTTATACTAAACTGGTAAGCACAAGTAAAGTGACTCTCTGAGTTCTAGTAAATGACTGAACCTGAGGAGAGGGTCATGGGAATCCCCTAATTTAGAGGTGGTCAGTCAGAAGTTCCAGAGGCCTGGACATGCAACTGGCATCTCAAGTAGGGGACAGTCTCGTGGGACTGGGCCCTTACCCTGTGAGATCTGACACTATCTCCAGGTAGACAGTGTCAGAATTGAACTGAATTGGAGGACACCCAGCTGGATTCTGCTGGAGAACTGTTTGGTGTGTGTGGGAAAACTCCTAAACACCTGGTGTTAGAGTATGCGGTATAGAGTTTGGTTGTTTAAATCACACACTGAGATGCAGAAATCTCAGTTATAGTCAGTAGAGTTGTTAAATTTTAACTCTACAAAGCAAACTGTTTTCCTGAGAATTGAATCGGAAACTCCTGAGGCTGGTTAGGGAGTTACTGTCTTTCTGCTCCAGACTCCCGCCCTTCTATCAGCTCTTTTGTGGTCCCAGGGCTAGGGCTTTGCTATCTTCACTTCTGCTTCACCAGCTGCTTCCAGTCCACATCCACCAGCAGGGGCTTTTTGGTTTCAATGTCTGGAGTTTTTTTAGTTCTGTACTCTCAGAACCAGTTTCATCTGGCCCCTCAGAAGTATAAACATACTAGGCAGCACACTTCCCCTCCTTTAGAAGTCTGAGTTCCAGATCTGAGGGGACCTTCCTTGAAGTCCTAAAAACCCTAAATTCTTCTCTTTGTCCCTCCAACCCCAGGGATGGTGGCAGCTTCCTACAGTTACTATCTGTGTGTTACATCAATATCCACTATTCACCTTTTAACAACACTTCTAAAATTAATTTCTTAAATTTTATCAAAAGAACTCAAAAGTTACCTACAGAGTTTCCATATGACCCAGCAATTCCACCTCTAGGTATATACCCGAGAAAAATAAACACGCATCCACAAAAAAAACTTGTATATGTTCATAGGAGCATATCAAAATAACCAGAGAATGAAACCAGCGAGTGAAAACAACCCAACTGCCCATCAATTAACTAATGAATGGATAAACACAATGTGGTCTATCCATACAATAGATATTTGTCAATGAAAAGGAATGAAGTATTGGCACATGCTACAATGTGATAAACCTCAAAAACATTATAAATGAAAGAAGCCACACATTTATTATTTATGATTTCATATGTATGAAAGGTCCAGAACAGGCAAATCCATAGAGATAGAAAGTGAATTAGTAGTTATCTAATCTGGGGGGATGAGTGGTTGGGGGAGATGAAAAGTGATTACTTACGGGTGCTAGGTTTTTGAGTGGGAATAATGAAAAGATAATTAATTGTGGTGATGGATGCACAACTCTGAATACACTATTATAAAAACCATGCAATTGTGCACTTTTTATGGGTAAACTGTATATGAATTATATCTCAAAAAACATCTTTAAAAAAAAATGCAGGCCAGGCACAGTGGCTCACACCTGTAATCCCAGCACTTTGGGAGGCTGAGGTAGGTGAATCATGAGGTCAGGAGTTCAAGACCAGTCTGGCCAATATGGTGAAAACCCGTCCCTACTAAAAACACAAAAATTAGCTGGGCGTTGTGGCATGTGCCCATAGTCCCAGCTACTCAGAAGGCTGAGGCAGAAGAATCGCTTGAACCCAGGAGGCAGAGGTTGCAGTGAGCTAAGATCATGCCATTGCACTCCAGCCTGGGCAACAGAGCAAGACTCCATCTCAAACAAAAAAAAAAGAAAGAAAGAAAGAAAGAAACTATAGTGCCTTCCATTTTCCTGACTAGACCCAGAGTGATGCGACTCCCTCAACAGGCTGGTTCTGGACTGTGTGGGAAGAAGAGCCTTACCAAGTGAAACCAGGTTCCGGTAGTTCTCCAACATGACATCTTCATACAAATCCTTCTGAATGGGGCTCAGCCATTCCCACTCCTCCTGGGAGAAGTAGATGGCTAAGTCCCCAAATGTTATAGGTGCCTGAAATGAAAAATCAAACATCCATTCACCATGGGCTCATGCTTCCATGCGACTGGGGGAAACGAAACACGTATCTTAAACATGGGAGACGTGAGGTGCAAGAATCATTCAGGAAGGATTCAGGGTTCTGAGGCCAAAAGGAGCATATCAAGAAATTAAATACAATACAATATAAGACACAGCTGTTACTAAAATTATCTTGCATTAAAAATATGTGGCAACCTGGATCTACCAGGCATTTACAAAGGCAAGGTATTTTTCTACAGGCACTATCAGCGAAATCACAGTATGTTACAGATGAGGAAACTGAGGCCCAGAGAGGTGAGAAAACTTTCTGCAGGTCTCACAGCTAGTAAATGGAGAAGGTAGGGTGCAATCCGGACCGTGTGGTTCCTGATTTAATCTCCTAACCACATGCTCTCCAAGGAGCATATGAATATGTTACACATGACAAAAGGTTCTTTAGGGTAGAATCAAGGTCACTGATCACTTGACCTTAACATAAGAAGACTTTAAAATAGGCAGATTATCTTGGACTTGACCTGGCCAGTTGGTTATTAGTTCTTGCTGTCTTGAAGATGAAAAATAAGGGTCAGGTGGAAAATGTGAGAAGGAAGTGAATCTACTCACTAGCTAGCAAGCTTGGAAGAGGACCTGAGCCCCAAATGAGAATACAGCCGGCCGACACCTTGATTTCAGCCCTGTGCCCTCCAAAGCAGATGACTCAGCTAAATCATGTGCTTGGGCGCCAACCCACAAAACTGCATGATAGTAAATATGTGCTGTTTTGAACTGCCAAGTTTGCAGCTAATCTGTTACAGCAGCAAGGGGGAACTAATACACATAACTGAAAGCAAACACACTTGTTAAGGGAAACTGCATTTGAGACGCTGTTGTAAAAAACACCCAATGATTGACAGTGGTGGAGCATGCTGACCACAGGAGGCTGCCCATACCACCTCACTGCGCCAATGCACTCAGTGGAATAACAGGGCTATATGGTGCCTCTCAGTCTTGGGACCTTAGCTAGAGAGATTTCCTCCATGTAAATATGAGTTTTAAAAAACGAAACTAAAGCACACAACAAGACTAACTCCATGCATATGTCAAATCCTCTCTGCTACTGCAGGCCCCACCTGGGCATTCATTTCCATGCTGAGAAATCACAGTGGCTCTCATCTTCCTGCAGGGAGGACATTTCTCCTGGGGAGGGCATTTCTCCTGGCACTGGCAAAGCCCCTGGAAATGCTGAACCAACAGGCGAGTGGCCAAGTGCACAGTGGGGAATCAAGAGATGCCCGCTGGGCAGTTTCCTGGCTGCTGGACCCTTCTCAGGCTCTTCTCCCCATGGCAATGGGAGAAAACCAAGGACTAGGCACTGGATGGATCTCCAAAAGTCAACGAGTCTCCATAAAAGGAAAGCGAATGGTCAGCATCTCACAAGACACGATGGGATGTTCCTGAAGAAAGAGAAACTGCCACTTACCTTGGATTTGGATTTTCCCCGTGCAGCAGGCATCCTTTCTTCCCGCTTGAGGGTCCACACTCAGAGAGGGTCAGAGAGCTGGTAAGGCAGGGCTGTGGGGAGAAGAGAGGTCATGAGGCCAACTGGGCCTTTTGGGCAGTGTCAGAGTCCACAGGCCCCTAACCTGGACGGACACATGCACGCACGCACACACCGCTGTCAGAACACCTGGAGCATTCCTGCCCTCCTCACCCTCTCACGGTCAGGAAGGGTACGGACAACACTTTTTATGCCTAAGATCACAGCGGGTTCTTGATCAGGAGGTAAATGAGGACTGTACAGACCTCTGGCCATCCATTTGACAAGTATTCACTGAGCACCCACTAGGTGTCCAGCTGTCCCAGGTACTGGGGAGAGAACAGTGAGTTAGAGTGGAAGAGTGCCAGCTCCCAAGCACCTTACATTCCAGTAGGGGAAGCAAGTCCATATAAAGCACAATGATAGTCCTGGTCATTGCTATGAAGAATAAACAGGCCAGGGCAGGGGTTAGAGAGTAGTGGGATGGTCAGGGAAGGTGCCTCTGAGGAGGCCGCATGGAGCTGAGGTCCAAATGTGAGAGCGTGAGCCATATGGGTGCTATGGGAAGAGCATTCCAGGTAGAGGCACAGCAGGTGCCAGGGTCCTGGCTGGGTGCAGGCTTAGTGTGAGGAGAACAAGGTCCGTGTACTGAAGCAGAGTGAGTGCAGTGGGGAGGGTGGGCTAAGGCAGGAGGGGCCAGATCATGAAAGGGGTGCTGAGCAGCCGGGATCTGATCCAAAGCGTGACATCACTGGCGGAGGTAGGGGAGCCGAGTAGGGGAGTGACACCATCAGACTTCACAGTTAACAAAAAAATTGGGTGTGTCCATATAGTGGATAAACTGTGTGTCAGGAGAGAGAACAGGAATGAGGAGAGGACTCAGTAGGTAGCTTTGCAGCAATCTGGGGGAAATGTTGATGGCATGACTAGGGTGGGTGGAGAGGAGGAGGGAAGATATGGTCAGATCACCTCCTCGAAGGGGCCCCTCGATCTACCCATGTAAAAGAATCTCTGCCCGGTATCAGGCTATACCTATGCTGTCTAATGTGAATGCCACCAGCCACACGTGAAAACTGAGCACAGGAAATAACACTAGTGCAACTGAGGAACTCATTTTCTTTTCTTCCTTTTTCTTTTTTGAGACAGGGTCTTGCTCTGCTGCCCAGGCAGGAGCACAGTAGTGTGACCTCAGCTCACTGCAGCCTCAGCCTCCTGGGCTCAAGCAATCCTTCCACCTCAGCCTTCCGAATAGCGGGGACCACAGGTACCTGCCACCTAATCTAGCAAATTTTGGTATTTTTCAGAAAGAGTTTGGCATGTTGCCCAGGCTGGTCTCAAACTCCTGGGTTCAACCAATCAGCCTGCCTAGGCTTTCCAAAGTGCTGTGATTACAGACATGAGCAACTGTGCCCAGCCTGGAGCTCATTTTCATTCTAATCAATTCACTATTAAAATAATAATAAAATAAAATTTAAAATTACTGATAAATTATTAAAAGTAATTTACTGTGAATTTAAAATGAAAAACTGATACTCAATTTGGTTACTATAAGACTTTAAAGTATGTCAGGAACAACTTGGGTATGTGACTCTACTTTTCCAAAGGTTTTATGAAATGAAGTACAGATCCGGTATCTTCATTGAAAATTAAGGGTCTAGACGGACATGTGTATAAAACTTGTATGGGATTTCAAAGACTTAGTATGAAAAAATATAAACTATTAGTATGAAAAAATAGCTACATGTTAAAATATTAATATTTTGGATATAGTCAGTTAAATATAATATATTATTAAAATTAACTGCAATGGGCCAGGCACAGTGGCTCATGTCTGCAATCCCACTGCTCTGAGGCTGAGGCAGGAGGATCACCTGAGCCTAAGAGTTTGAGAGCAATCTGGGCAATGTAGTGAGACTCCACCTCTGAAAATATTAAACGATTAGCTGAGTATGGTGGTGTGTGCCTGTAGTCTTAGCTACTTGGGAGGCTGAGATGGATTGCTTGAGCCTGGGAGGCAGAGGTTGCAGTGGGCCAAGATCGTGCCACTGCAGTCCAGCCTGGGTAGCAGAGTGAGATCCTCTCTCAAAAACAAAGCAAAACAAACAAACAAAAACATTACTGATAAATTTGTTGCTTTTTACCCTTTTCAATGTAGCTGCTGGAAAATCTAAAATGATGTGCCTCACATTATCTTTCTGCGGGGTAGTGTATTATTGTATTGTTCCATTTTCCTCATAGCATGGACCACTTTCTGAAAACAGCTTGTTTATGTGGTTAGTACCTCCCCTCTCCCTACACACACACAATGACCTGAGCTGGAAAGCAGAGACTTTGTTTTGCTCCCTGCTCTACTCCCAGGGCTGAGAACCTACCTAGCACAGAGCAGGTGCTCAATAAACACTCGTTGCCTAACTCAACCAAATCCTCAGTATGCTGAAATCCCATCCCAGAGAGACAGTTCTGCTGCAGCCATGCCCTGGTCCTCCACACTTGTCTTTGGAGGACAGAAATGGGGACATACTTTTCATTCCCCTTAATGTGGAAAGCTTGACATCTTGAGAAAATGACAAAATGAATGCCTCATTACTCTTCACCAAATGTTAACATTTTTCACATACTTTTTTTTTTTTTTTTTTTTTGAGACGGAGTTTTTGCTCTTGTTACCCAGGCTGGAGTGCAATGGCGCGGTCTCGGCTCACCGCAACCTCCGCCTCCTGGGTTCAGGCAATTCTCCTGCCTCAGCCTCCTGAGTAGCTGGGATTACAGGCACGTACCACCATGCCCAGCTAATTTTTTGTATTTTTAGTAGAGACGGGGTTTCACCATGTTGACCAGGTTGGTCTCGATCTCTCGACCTTGTGATCCCCCCACCTCGGCCTCCCAAAGTGCTGGGATTACAGGCTTGAGCCACCACGCCCGGCCTCACATACTTTTTTTAAAAAAGCAATTGTCTGAAAGTTGCAGACATGATGACAGTTTATCCCTAAATGTTCCAGTGCATGCCTCCCAAGAATGCCATCATCATATCCTGGTGCCAACAGCAGAACTGTCCCCAAAAGCTTTCTGTGACTTTTTAATAAAAAGAAGTACAGCAGGATACAGCCTGGAAAAATGGAAATAATAGACATTCCCTCTTCTGATGTTCCTTTTGTCCCCCTGGGGGTGGAGGTAGAAGAAGATAAATAAACCCAAGGCCATCATGCTTGAGTTCAGAGTTAGATAACGGATATGTTTTGATATGAAATGTGAATCCTAAGATGGCCTTGTCCTATTTAAGAGAAGCAAGGCAGAAGAATGCTTGGGTTATTATGCTTCTCTCTTTGTAAGATAAAGTAGTAGTAAGAATAGAAATACTAAAATGAATTATTAACAAGATGAATAAATGTTGAGTGCTACATGTGCTAAGCAACACTGAAGATTATCATTTTAATTCTCACATCTGGTGGCAAGTCTGGTTCTAATGCCATTTTCCAGATGAAGACACAGAAGCACACAGAGGAAGGAATTGCTTGCCCAAGGTCATAAAGTAGACCAGTGGCAGAGCCAGGGTTCAAACCTGCATATTTGCCCCGAATGCCTGGCTCTTAACCATACAGTTTGCCACCCTTCCATCTGCCCATGTTAGAGGTAACAAGCTGAGCAAAGAAGACCAGCGGGGCAGGCTTGAGGCTGCTCTCCCAAGAGTCCTGTGTGCAGGGTCAGCCCCAGGCTGGTGTCTAAGGACCTGCGTGGGACAGAGTTCCCTACAGGGATGTAAAACTCTTCTTAACTATTAAGAATACCTTTGGGCCGGGCGCGGTGGCTCAAGCCTGTAATCCCAGCACTTTGGGAGGCCGAGGCGGGTGGATCACGAGGTCAAGAGATCGAGACCATCCTGGTCAACATGGTGAAACCCCGTCTCTACTAAAAATACAAAAAATTAGCTGCGCATGGTGGCACGTGCCTGTAATCCCAGCTACTCTGGAGGATGAGGCAGAAGAATTGCCTGAACCCAGGAGGCGGAGGTTGTGGTGAGCCGAGATCGCGCCATTACACCAGCCTGGGTAACGAGCAAAACTCCGTCTCAAAAAAAAGAGAATACCTTCAACTTTCCTGTATGTGTGTGCAGGGAGCCCACAATTTATGCCTTACGTTGAACCCCTGCTTTCCTTCTGGGAGTCTGCAATTTTGGTATCTGCCAAGCAAAAGATGCTGATGTGAGCAGCTCACAATACCAAATGTGGACACTGAGTCTCTAACGGCCATGCTGTGTAGACAGCACCTTGTATGTGTTGTTCTAATTCATTACTAAGGGAATTAGTATGCCACTCAGGACTGCACTGGGAGAGGACTCCTGGGAGCCTGGCCCTGACTTCCCCAGGCTCTGCTCCGTGCACCCTTCCCTTTGATGATACTGCTCTATGCACCCTTCCCTTTGATGATACTGCTCTGCATTCTTTGGCTGTAATAAATCATTAGCTGTGAGCATGACTACCAGCTGGGTCCTGGGAGGCCCTCAAGAATGCTGGGAGGTGGCCTTGTGGAATCAGAAACATAAGCCATAAGAGGTAACCACTCCTCTACCGCACCCCTCAGCTGTGTTAGCCTTACAGAGAGGTTCTAATGAACAGTCATTCTGCTCCAGATGGAGTTAAGGTGGGCACATGACCAACCTCCTGGCCCCAATGGGAGGCACCTGGAAGTATGGCTTCCCAGCCCCTCAGGATGGTGCCCTGAGCCACACCCAACTCTAGTGCTCTTGTTTAGAGGGATCCCTAGTTACCAGGCCTCTGGTTTAATAAAACATGACCAGAGTGACTCTATCTTCAAGTGAATAGGTGGGCATTCACAAGTCCCCTGCTTAAGGTTAATGCTTATAGTCTGAAAATAGCCACATTCCAAGCTAACCAACTACTATAATTACAGAAAATTTATGGACACACAGACCATCTCCCACCAAGCCTGCAGAATGTCCAGATGTCCTGAGACTGCAGACCACTTTCCTCAGAGATAACATCAATGACCAGGCTTAGGGTGAAACACGAATGGTCGTTAA